TGTGTGTGTGTGTGTGTGTGTGTGTGTGTGTGTGTGTGTGTGTGTCCCGCAGTCCCACAGCCCACTTATAAAATAAACATACAGACACTTATATTTAAACTGTTTGGCCTAATGGCTCAGGCTTCTTGCTATCTAGTTCTTATATCTTAAATTAACCCATATCTATTAGTCTGTAAGTTGCCACGTGGCTCATGGCTTACCGGTACCTTACATCTCGCTTTTTATGGCAGCGGCTGGCAGCGGCTCTCTGCCTCAGCTTCCACTTCCCAGAATTCTCTCTCCTTGTCCTGCTTATACTTCCTGCCTGGCTACTGACCAATCAACACTTATTTATCAATCAGTCATCCACAGCAGCTGTGGTATATAATCTATCATATCCTTTAGGTTATAGCAGGAAATGCCTGGAGCTCGTTTTTTTTGTTTTGTTTTGTTTTGTTTTGTTTTGTTTTGTTTTGTTTTATGTGGCTCTTAATTGTGTGAGCCTAGGGGCAGCACATCCTCTGGTGGATTTCCCAGGGCCTAGGGTAGAGGGACAGCGCATCCTCTGGTGGATTTCCCAGGGCTTAGGGTGGAGAGACAGTGCATCTGGTGGGTTTCCCAGGGTCTGATGCCCCAGGTCTGACCCTTCTCTAAGATGGCTGCAACCATCCTCTCAATCCCAACCGTGCTTTCCATGGCTCTCCTTAGTTGCCACCTTCAGTGGAGACGACATCTCAATCACAGCCCACAAAGTGGTAACCACGCCTATTACATTAACAAGTGACAATCAAGGAATGGTGTGACTACCAAGTGAAAAACAAAAACAAACAAGGAGCCATTAGGTAATATAGAAAGAAGGAGACCAAAACAGGAACAATACACCTTTGCAACTAAGACAGTTAGGAGTAAGTTCCTATTTGCACTGAGCAGGTTAAGGTTTCTGTTTGTAGTTGAATAAGTTTCTGTTTGTCCTGCTGAAAGTCCTTGCAAGTTAAGGTTTCTGTTTGTAATTAAGAATAAATTCCAGCCGGGCAGTCGTGGCGCACACCTTTAATCCCAGCAGTTGGGAGGAGGAGGCAAATGCAGGTGAATCTCCCTGAGTTCAAGGCCAGCCTGGTTTACAAAGCCAGTTCCAGGACAGCCAGGGCTACACAGAGAGACCCTGTCTCCAAAAACAAAAAACAAAAAAATTCCTGTTTCTTAGATCTGATGTAAACTGTAAATGTTTTTCAGGCTACACTGAACTTGTCACCCCACTCACAGGATGCACATCCTGACCCTTGTTCCTTCCCTTTCGCTGTCTTTTCCTAACAGTGTGTAACAGCCAGCTCTCTTGCCCCTGAGAAGAATACCTTATCTCTCTTATAAAAAGGAAGGACCTCAAGAGTCTGGCAGGAGCTGCGCTCTCAAATCCTAACTTAGGGTGGGACAGCTGGCTGGCCAGTCCTGGGTGCACCCCAAAATACAGCTTGCTTTAATCGGACATTTGTGGCATTGGTCTTCCCTCACGATTCTCGGGTCTAACAGCTACTCAAACTATGAACAGTATCTCCTGACCGCGAGCTTGTGGCCAGTTGTCTTAATGCATAGATATTATCTACATATATAAATTATTTTTTGAAGTTCCAGTGAACACACTGTTAAGTGACACAATGTTATTCATTCGGCAGCACTGTTTGCTGTGCAAGAGAAGCCATGAGGTACAACAAAACCCACTATAAGAGTTTATTAAAGGAAGGGAATAGGAAAGATGTGCATAGGCCTATGGAACGACTGTGCAGGAAGAGGGGGGAGGAATAAGTGGAACCACTTTTATAGGTTCCCCCCCCACATGTGCATATGGGTTTATGTAGCTACGCCATACATGTGCGTGCACATAGATTATGTGATCACGCTGTGCCCAAATTACATGACCATGCAGCGAATGGATTACATAGGACACCAGGCCCTGGGATGACTAAGAATCTTGCCAGCACACTCACGGTCATGTAGGTGGGGGAGTGGCTAGGAATTCTAATACACACCCCATCCTACACCCACTGAAACACATACTTTTATTCATATGACAGCTTCTGCTTGTCAGTAAAGGTACTGGGTATAGAGATAGAACTTTCTAGAAAGTAGTTGTAAAAAGCATATGTGGAAGGAGATACTGACTCTTAAAACTCATCCTTTGACCTCCACCTATTCATGTGTGTAACTCTTCACCCTCATAAATAAATCCAATAAAAAAGAATCTAACCCTATTCCAGGGCCTGGAGAGATGACTCAGCAGTTAGGAGGGGCTTGATCTCTGCCTTTGCAGAGGACTCAAGTTTGGTTCCAAGCACTCACGGTGGGCAGCTCACAACTGCCTGTAACTCTAGCACATACCCCCACACAGGCAAACTTATACACACAACTCTTAAAAATAAAAAAGATTAAAAGTCATATACCATTTGAGTTTACTTCCCTGGTGGATTGCTTGGCCATGTCATGAAGCTACAGATCCAAGAAAGAATGCTCTAACACTACCACCAGCTGACATCCCCCTTTAAAAACCTCACACCAGCTCCCAAAGGCAGAGTCCTTAAGACCTGTGTGGCAGGCTTTTACTGAGCTACACAGTCTGGTGCATCAAACACTTTCCTTTTGTCCTCATTTCCACTCAACGGTGGTGATTTTGTTGTGGTGGTTGTTAGAAAATGTGTTTTCTTTCTACATGGGGCAGCTGGTTTTTTTTTTTTT